GTAAGCAGAAGTCAGAGGAGCTGGGGTGGGAAGGAACAGATGCTTCATTTCTCCTGCAGAGCGCAGGTGGGGCCAGGTGTCTACCCCACCCGGGCAGCTGGCCCAGCCCTCCTCTGAGGCCCCAGGCTCCCACTCCCTCTCTTGTTCTCATCTCCTACTTCTTTAAGAGGTTAAAAGTCAGCAGGCCAGTAAGCAACTTAATTGTAAGGCACCTAGAAGTGATGTCTACCAATCCACAGCAAGTAGAGTGCCTAAGGCCACAGGGGCCTGGCCAGGTCCCTTTGTGCACAATGCTCTGGCAGGCCTCCTATCATTCAGCTTCTGCACCAGCTGCACTGTTAGGACTTCCTGGCACTCTGGCCTGAGACTCTGAAATAGGAATCAAGTAAGGGGATCACATACTGGGCATATGATCCCTGACTGGTTCTTCTCAAAGATGCCTACCTTGTTTTGTAGACTCACTAAAGCCAAAGGGCAATGATTTCCCTTCCTTCCCCTCCAGTCCAGAATTTTTAAGAGTTTCAAATGCCATGTCAATATCTGTTAGGTTGCACAAATATCTTCAGGCAGGAGTCAAGTAGTTACACCGATCAAGACACCATGGAATCTTTGGTGCAAAACTTTTGGCATTTGCTGAGACTTGATGAAAATAAAATCTGAAAACTGTCTCCATTCTAAGCTGATACAATATGCTGGATTTGCTTTCTTCAACACAACTGATCACAAAGAGCTAGACGGAGTTTGCAGAGCTGCAGAAGTGGAGTCTACAAACATTACAGAAGAACAGAAGGCCATGTTATGCAGACACAGAAGTGCCCTGGGGCCAGAATCAGGAGCCCAAGCCAAACCAGCTGACATTTAATATGGGACAATGTTATATCTACTTTTTGAGGCCCAAAGTTCCACTGTCCAAGTATACCCTGGAGACAGTGCTTCCCTGTGTGTCCTAAAAGCACACCTTATAAACGGAAGCCTTCACTTCTAAATGGAAACAGTGACAGCCAAATGTTCCCCAAGACTGACAGTGGGAAAACCAGCCTGGAAAGTGCTGATTCCCCTGTAGGCTGTACTGCCTGCCTCTGGGAAGCGAGAAGAGAAGACTGTTCTATATGGTAAATCTGACTGTGACAAGGGAGCAACCTCAGAGAAGGAAGCAGGATAAACAGGACCCTAGGACCTGCTCAGCTGGTGACTCTAAATGCACCAACAGGCCCTCTGGGGCTATGACATGGGATCATCGCCTTTGGTGCAGTCATAATCAAGTGAATGCCTCCTGGACTCAGAAACCGAAGAGCTGAGGGACCAGAAACCTGAGCAAATACAAAGTTGAAATCCTCAAACAGGATGTGCTATATTCATGTCCTAATCCCTGGAACCTGATAAGTGAAGGTTCCTTACATGTAACTTGTGAATGCTGCCTTATAGACAAAAGTGTGTGTATGTGTATGGGGGGTGTCTGCAGATGTGATTCAGTTAGGATCTTGAGTGGGGAGATGATTATAGATTATCCAAGTGGACCCTAAATGCATGTGTATCCTTATAAGAGAGAAGAGGAAGATCTGACACACACTTAACAGGAGGTGATGTGAAGATGGGACAGGGCAAGGTGAAAAGATCCTGGCCTAGAAGTAATGCAGCCACAGCCAAGGAATTCCAGGAGCCACAAAAAGCTGGAAGAGGAGAGGCCTGGGCTTCTCCCTAGGGATTCCAGAGGGAACACAGCCTGCCAACACTTCAGTTTGTCCCAGTGATACTGACTTCAGACTTCAGGGCTGTTCAGTTGTGGGAGACTAAGTTTCTACTGCTTTTTAGCACAAAGTTTGTGGTGGTTTGTTATAACTGCCAAGGAAACTAATACACAGGTCAATAGAATTTTTCCCTGCCTTTTTCATTTAGCCAATATCCACAAAAATGACCTAGAATGTGCTAGGGACTGTGAAGGGTGGAAAAGGCTTAGTAAGTCCCACTGAAGGCCTCATTCACAAAGAGGATCTCGAGTGTGTTAGGAGCTGGGAAGGATGCAGAAGACAGTGGCTGATGGATCGTGAAGCCCAATGGAGGTCACATCAGAAGGCTTTGTGGGGCAGATGATATTTGCTTCAGCTTTGAAGGGGAAGACTGGGCTCCAGCGATTAAGGAGGGAAGTGATCCAATCAAAGGCATGGGATGAGGAAGGTCACTGATGGGTAAGAGTTCACAGTGCTGAGGACTAGCGGATGGTCAGGATGGCGAGGGCTGGGACAGACAGCCAGAAAGATAAGCTGGGGCCAGGCCACAGAGGTGCCTGAGGAGCCCTGCTCTGCTGAAAGGGGTCCCTCTCCATACTGGAGTAGGATCTGCAAAGATAGTGTGCACGGGCCAGCCAAGAAACAGGAATTTGGAAATATGCTGAAAGTAAGAGTTTCAAAGACGTGAAATCACTGGCTTGGACATTGAAGACTGTGCTGCTGAGCTCAGATTCCTAGCCCTGGCACTGGCTGGGCACTGAGTGAGGGGGAGTGCTGAGAAAACCAAGCAAGTGGGTCAGCAAGAGGGAAAAGAGGGTGGGGAGGGAGAGATGCAGAGAAAGGAAGAATGCAGGCAGAGAGAAAGAAGTCAGGGGCTCTTGGGCAGCAGGATCTCCTGCCAAAATTCTTGTTTTCTTTCCTTCACACTGTGCAGCCTCCCTCTGTGCCAGGGGACAGAGTCCCAAGGGGCCTTGTGGTTGTCTCTGTCCAACTGATGCCAGCAGGCGTGGTTAGGCTGTACCCTTGCTCAGTCCCATGATTCCTTCTGCCACCATTAAAGGACGAGGCGCAGCCATCCGTTCCCGAGAGGGGTTTGGGCAGCCCACAGCCATTTGTATTCGGAGCCTGGTAATTAAGGCTGGAGAAATCACAGGGCCAGAGGGCAGGCTCTGTTTGGATAAACTCAAGAAAGTTCAGCTGCTTCTCTGAACTTGGCCTCCTGGAGGTTTGCAGCAGGGAGCTGAGAGGGCAGCCAGGTGGCCTTGGCTTCACCTGCTCACATGCCCTTGGGGCCTGGTGCTACTTCTGCCTCCCCTTCTATTGTCACTGAGAAGTAACAGTTGACAGATTCAGAAAGCACACAGGCAGCACAGCACAGAGCAAGGAGTGCCTGACTGGGGTCAAGTCTTCTGCCTGCAAGCTGTGAAGCCTTGGGCAGTTCCCTGACATCTCTGAGTCTTAGACCTTTTGAGAAATGGGGATTGAGCTCTATCTGGAGCTTGTCCATAGAGTTATTACAGAAAGGGTTCTAGGGAAAGCATTTTGTATTCTAGGAAAAGCTACATAAATGTGAAGGGTCATTCAAGGTTATGGCTCGAGATCTACTCTAACTCACGGAGGGTTGGGAGATGAGAAGTGAGGTGGGGCGGTGGTGGTGGTGTGTAGCTGAGGAAGGACGGTGTGTGACCCCCCATCTCTGCCTGCCTTGTGCACAATATTTCCCTGGGTTCTGCCATGGACACCCCCTCACAGCACCAGAAAAGGCAGAGGTTTTGCAGGTGAACCTGGCAGCCTCCCTGGCATGGGCAAGGCCCCGGGCAAGAGTACACACACGGGCCATTTCCCATATGTCTCATATCTAAAAATCATAAATCAAGCTAACAAACCGTTAAATGAAATATGCTCCATCCTCCTACCCTGTTAAATCCATCTTTGACACAACTTGGAGGATTAGGATGAAATTTAGAACGCCAGGACTCCTTGGTGCTCTATGCCAGGCTGTGCTGCCTGGGGACACCCCACACCAACCATGATCTGACCACTGTCCCTACCCCCAACTCCACTGGCCACCATGCAGGGACTTGCATAGCGGCGCACCCATCCCTCACACCTGATCTCTGTCCACATGCTAACAAGAATCCAGACCCTGGCCCAAGGGCGCAAACAGCTGACATGAGCTATCTCTAGGAGGATGACCCTGGAGAAGAGGCCGGAAGAGCCTCAGCCTGACTGGGGTTGGTGTCAGGTGGCCTGGAAGAAGGATCATAAGCATGTCCCCTTGGGTCTGTAGACTCTCCCTGGTCCTTGGGGTGAGGGGGACACTACCCCAGCAGGGCCAAAGCAGGGCCCTCTAAGGAGTGGCTCCCAGTGAAGGGGTTCTTTCTTGCCTGGTCCTACCTGGCTCCCGGTGGTGGCCCTACCTCCTGCTTCCTCGGTGATTCAGGTATATTGCAGCCCCTACTTTTTGAGCTGTTGTGAGGCTCCAAAGAGAAAGCAGTTGGAGACAGGGGAAAGTGGAGGGTCTTCAAGCGTCTAGACCCCCCAGGCACTGGAAAGTATGGCATGGCTCCTTCAAAGGACACCAAACAAGAGGCACCCCTGCCCAGTAAAGGAAGTAGAACAACATCTAACAAAGCCTTGATCTTTCTTGATGTTTTGAAAAGAGTCTTTCAAAAAAAGGAGACTTTGACTAATGCTGCTATGTTAATGCTGTTAACACACAGAAAGCCAGTACCACGAGGACCTGACATGGTGGCCCTCTTTCTAAATGTCTTGAAACTGATGCTTCACTACCTAGAGGGAATTGGGTTTCAGTGGTGCTCAGTTTAGAATCAAATGACAAATTCACCACCTTCCATCCTGTCTGTTTTGAACATGGGAGTGAGATGGCTGAAAGCCCCTCGGGGCTTCTGTTGCCTGGAGTCACACAGTCAGGAGGGAGGGGAGGAGGAAGGAAGAAGGGAAAGAGGGAGGGAAAGCTGGCGACCCCTCCCCTGTAAGCTGGCCCTGCAACCCTCTGTGTTCCAGCTCCATGTGGCCAGCAAGGAGCTGCTTGAGTGACAGCCGGGGACCCCTCTCTGACGTCCTCCCCAGTGCTGTCGTCGCGGCTGTTCAGCACACCCAGCTGCAGGAAAGAGGCTGGGCCAGACCTCCGCTTCATTTATTCAGGCCCGCTTCTCAGAAGCATAGAGGTCACCAGGCTGTTGGCGGGATGCTCCCCTCTGAAACCCTGTCCGCTGCCTGCTGTGGAGGCAGCCGGCAGTGCAAACTCACCAGGCACCATCCCTGTCAGTGTAGGCGCTGAGTAGCTGCCCTGTCCAGCAGGGGGGACGTGTGGAGGGTACCCGGGGAGGGTCGTGCTCGCCAAGTCGCGGCCTGAGGAATCAAAGCAACAAATCACAGGGTGAGTATCTCTGAGGCCAGCCGCTTGTCCACAGCTCCCCTGACATGTCTGCACATTTGTCACGTCTGGATGCTGAACACCAGTATGTCCCCATCCCTGTCCCACTGCTCATGCAAGCCTGGGCTCACGCACACATTGCCAGTCCCCCAGGCTCCACTCATCGAGAACCAAGCCAGGGCTCTGGCTTGAAACGGGAACATGGGACTGCAGAGGTCCTGGCACATGCCAGGGCTCTCGACTCCCCCAACCATGACTTGGACTGCTCCACTGCCACAAAGATGTTTCTGCTGGGCCCTCTGCACAGTCTCCTTCCTCCAGCCGCACCTAACAGCATCACCTTCACAGACCTGCTCAGCCGCCCTCTCTGCCCTCCTCGACAGCCCACAGTGGGGAGGGGCATCCCTGACTCAGACCCTCTGGCCCCATACCTTGGCCCCTCACAGAATGCTTCCTCCCTGACCCAGAACTGTTCCTTCATTTAGTGAAGAAGTAGGAAGCAGGAGGCTCCTCCCTCCCTCTGCTCACCAGCTCCTTGCCTTTGGACTAGGCTCATGTCCTCACATGAGGCATTTTAGAGGGGGAGCAAATGCTCCAGGATTTATCTCTGGGAGCCCTCGGCTCCCCCACATGACAAGCATCCATTAGAGCTGTTATGACTTCTCATGAGAGGCAGGAAACCCATGCTGGCAGAACTGACCCCGCTCACAAGGTGAGTTAAGGAAGTTTGCTTGACTAGCCCTCCTGTCCTCCCTCCTCACCTTTTGCCAACCAGATCCACAGCCATGGGTGGCAGCTCCTTCTCTCTAGAGATCGGGTCTTTGTACTCCAAGGCCAGAATGCCATAGGCCTAAAATATTTGCTAAGTAAATGGAAGAAGTGGCCCTGCTAGAGAAGCAGGAGCTTTGGGAGCCCCAAACTGTTCCCTTCATCCATGCTCAGGAATCAGTGGAAAAACTGCCAGAGGAGCTCTTGCCTACCCCAATCCCTGCTGCCATTTTGCAGATGGGAAAACTGGGACCTAAAGCAAAGGAGGAGAGCAACTGGCTCAGGTCCCATAGGGACAGAGGGCAGAGCAGGTGCCTCAGCCCAAGTTTCCTAACATCAGCCAGACCCTCCTCTACCTCCAGCAGCACCATGGTGGTGTGATTGGGAGCACTCATGTTCACAGCCTTCTTCAGAGCAGTTGCAGAGAGTTAGGGGTCTTGGGGCTACTGAAAAGGTGTCTGCGGAAAGAGACTAAGCACAAGTCTGACCACTGTAATATTTAAGATTCAGTGGCCAGACTGTGAGACAGATAAAAATGACAGCCAATGGCAGGGGCTGCTTTGATGAGCTACTCCTCCACCAATCAGGGAGCACCTCCCACCCCGGCCCTGTTCCCAGGCTCAATTGCTGATGATGACAACTACAAATTATGAACACTTACATAGAAATAATAAAATACCAACCTCTAAGTATTTTCAATGGTTAACACCCTTAAACCTCAACAACCCCTGTCAGGTGCGATGCTGATACTATTTTCTCTTTACAAGAAATTAAGACTTCTCCAAGGCTGCACACTACTCCCAAAGATTCAAAACCAAGCAATCCAATGTCAAAACCACAAGTTTTGCCACTCCATTCTACTGCCTTGTGTGTGGAACTGTCTCTACTCTGGCCCTGAGTCCAGAGGCCCCACTCCCTCTCAGCTGGGACACTGTCATCATTACTCGTTGGCTCCATCTTGCAGAACAAACTCAACTGCAAGATTTTATGGGTGAGTGCGTTGGGGTGGAGGCCAAGACATAAGAGGGGGATATAGACTGCCTGCTGAGAGAAGGAGGGCATTATCCTGCAGGAGCCTGCAGGGGCCCATGCCCGGGCCCGCATACTTCCCAGCTGCCCAGGAGGGAGAAGACGGCCTTGGGAGGGCAAGGGACTTGTCTGTGGAAGCTGAGCTGATCTGAGGCAAGGCTGGGCCTGGCAGGTCTCCTGGTTCCTGGTAATGGGTTCTTCTTTCAATAAGGGCTGCCCTTTTGGTCATGTTTGGTCAACAGTTTCTGCTGCTGTTACACAGACCTTAAAACCTTGATCCTTCAAGTAAAGGTTCCGAAATCAGAGCCTCACTGAAGCACTCAACTTAGAAAGCTAGATAAAAAGCAATAAAATTAATCTAGGGGGAAAAAAGAGGAAGGAATCAAAAAAGAAAAAGCAAAAAATAATGAATTAGGAAACAGAAAAGCAGGCAGACAATAAGTACAAGCAAGAATTGTTATTTGAAAAGACGAATAAAACAGATAAACATAGATCAAGAGTTTTGAAAAAGACCCAAATATCAAGATAAAAAGTGAGAATATATAACCAGAAATATAGAGAGAATATTAAAAAAGAAGAAAATGTACTCCACACTAATAAATGTAGAAATCTCCACATTTTCTGGGAAAATATGTTATCAAAATTAACTCGAGAACAAGTGAAAAAAAAAAAAAAACAGCCAATAACCTTGAAGAAAGTGAAAAAAATGCCTTAAAAAATAAGTGCCTCAGGCTGGGGATTTAGCTCAGTGGCACCGTGCCTGTCTTGCAAGTGCAAGGTCCTGAGTTCAATCCCTGGTACAAAAAAAAAAAAAAAAGTGCCTCACCCATTTACTTTCTTGGGTAAGTTTTTTGATTGTTTTTGTCTGGGGCAAAAATCTTTAAGGGACACATACTCCTGTTATTAAACTGTTCTAGGATATATAAATCCAAGAAACTCTTCCTAATTCATTTCACCAAGCTAGCATAATCTTGATATAAAAACTTTCTAACAATGTTGCAAACCCAGTTGCACACCCTTGTAAAAATTAAACAAAAATGGATCAAAGACTTGAATGTAAGCACTAAAACTATAAAACTCTTAGAAGGAAAAATAGGCATAAATATTCATGACTTTGGATTAGGCAGTGGTTTCTTAGATATGACAAACAACAAAAGAAAAAGAAATTGAACTTCATCAAAATTAAAAACTTTTGTGCTTCAAAGAACACCATTAAGAAAGGAAAAAGATGACCCACAAAATAGGAGAAAATATTTGCAAATCATGTATCTGATAAAGAACCTGTATCTAGACTATATAAAGAACTCTTATAGCTTAACAATAAAAGACTAATAAACCAATTTAAAATGAGCAAAGGATCTGAATAGGCATTTGTTTAAAGAAGAATAAATGAAATGGTCAGCAAGCACATGAAAAGATATTCAATATCATCAATCATTAGGGCAATACAAATCAAAACCACAATGAAGCATCACACTCACTACAATGGTTATAATAAAAAGACAGATTAAAAAAATCTTTGGCAAAGATGAAAAAATTGGGAATCTAATACATTGCTGGGGGGAATATAAAATGATGCAGCCACTTTGGAAAAGTCTGGTAGCTTCTCAAAAGACGAAATATAGAGTTATCATAGGACCCAGCATTTTTACTCCTAAGTGTATCTCAAGAGAAATGAGACCAAATGTTCACACAAAACCTCATACACTATTGTTCACAGAAGTTTTATTCATAATAGCCAAGAAGTGGAGGCAACTGAAATATCCATCATCTTATAAATGGATGAAGAAAACATGGTACATCCAAACAATGAGATATTTGGCAATACAAAAGAATGACATAGGAATACATGCTACAATGTGAAATGATTATGCTGAGTAAAAAAAAGCCAGTCACACATGGCAACATGATGTATGAATCATTTCATGTAAAATATCCAGAACAGGCAAATCTTCAGAGACAAAAAGTAGACCAGTGGTTGCCTGGGTGGGTGTGGGATCCTTTGAGCTGTGTTATGAAGTGACCGTGGTGATAGTTGTACAAATTGTGATTATACTAATAACCACTGAATTATCTGTACACTTGAGATGGGTGAATTTTATGGTCTATGAATTGTATCTCAATAATTCTACTACTTTAGAAATTATCATCTATTATCACCATCATCTTGAAAAAGAAATGGTAGTCTGACACCAAAAATAGTGGAAGGGCATGATAGTAAACATTATGTTTTTAAGCCAAATAAATTTATTTTTATGGGAAAAAAGATGCAATAAAAGAAACAATTGATACATAACCCCCCCCCAAAAAACCCCTCGTGGCTGCTAAAAATAGAACAGAAGCAAAATCAAATGATAAATGATAAGCAACAAATTGGGAGAAATTATTTGCAATATATACACCATAGATAAAGGATTATTATCCCTAGGTAACAAGAAATTGTAAAATTTGAAGAGAAAAGACCAAAAATAATCCCACAGAATAATGGATAAAGTACATGAACATAAACTCCTGCTCTGTCTATATATACAGAGTCCACCAAAAAATGTATACTCACTTCCGGAAAAGGAAAAGAGTATGATGTTTTTTCAACAGATGGTGTTACTTTCGTATGGGAGACCCTAGAGGATGTTGTATATCGCAAAAAACCCACTACACTGCTGGCCCTTAGAGAAGAAATTGAAAATGCATGTGCAGCGATCTCAATGACCATGGATACCAAGCAGCAGTTCGATGTAGTAACAAATGTCTGGAAGCTAATGACCATGACTTCGAGCACCTCTTTTAATTGTATAGGCCAAAGCTAACTTACTCATCTCATGTCTCAATAAATTTAGTGTTAAAATATTTATACAAGCTTTTCTTTTCCTGAAGTGTATACATTTTTTGACTCTTTTCTCTCTCTCTCTCTCTCTCTCTCTCTCTGTATGTATATATATATATATCTCCTTAAAATATATATATATATATATATATCCTTAAGTGAATTGAAAAGATTTAATTTCATTATATACTAGAAATGCAAATTAACATAGGAAGGGGAATTTGGAAGTATCTAAAAAAACTACATGCATTTACCCCCTAAACAAGCAATCCTACTTTTAGAGACTTGTACCTGAAGATGCATACACCTTCATCAATACAAAATACATATGCACAAAGGTATTCACTGTAGCAG